TGTCTTCGTGTCGCTCATCTACCATGTCCAAAGTACGTGGTGGGTAATAGTCTTCTTTGTCAGAAGATTGTGGCGGACGGGGTTTGGATTCCCGGTGCTCCGCCTATTTGGTCTGTTCGATGGGTGTCTTGCCCTCGACCTTAGTGGCAGGGGGGCTGGAGCCCTTCCCTTGCCGTTTTGACTTGAAGGCTTGTGGGCCTGAGGTCTCCATCAAGCGGTGTGGGGTAGAGTTCATAACAGAACCTTCTCCACTGAGGCCGTTACTGTGGCGTTTATCGTTGCCTAGAAATCTTGGGAACGTTGAGAGTGTCCACCATGACTCGTTCCCGTCCTGTTGTGAGATAGTGTGAGGGTCAGCACATAGGGGTGTTAGACTCCTGGTAGAACTGGGGATCACCCAGGTAAAAACAGTTTGAATTGCCTGCTTTAGTATGTCTGAGAGTATGAATACTCGTGCCAAGTGTAGAGGGGTCACCTCTATTAGTTTAATCTGGCTACTGAGAGTCGTGGTGCAGGCGGTGACTGGTAGTGGTGTCGGTCTGGCTAGCCGGGTTCACCACAAATGTACGCCAGAGCTGTATGCACGGTTTTTAACTATACAGGCTTTGTATATAGGCGAATGGGGCCTGTCTCCATAAGGTCTGCAGCCGCAGGACCCATGTCTATTAGGCTGGGTTCATCCCAGGTGGTGTGCCATGGTAACACAGAGGACACCCATATTATAATTATTGGCACCTTACAAGCATTGCATGCATATCTGGGGGTCATCCCAGGTGGTGTGCCATGAAAAATTACCCAGAGGACACCCACGTTCAATATGTACACTAGGCACAGTAAATATACATATATGTATCCCTGTGAAGGGTACACCGCAATACACTCAGTTTTCTTAGTGATCCTGCCGTCAAAACGCATCCGGCATGGTACTGTTGCTTTAATGTAAAACTGACAGGCAGTGTGGCGTAGGCCTCCGTGCATATGATCGGGGTTCACCCCGGGTGGTGTGCCATGGTAGCCCAGAGGACACCCACATCAAAGGTAATGGTCTGTCAGTGACCTTGCATGCATATCTGGGGGGTTACCCCAGGTGGTGTGCCATGAAAAAAAAAATACCCAGAGGACACCCACATAAATTTGCACCGTCAGGTACAGTAATATAATATGACCCTCTGTAGGGTACAATAATATAATATAATATGCCCTTTGTAGGGTACAGTAACACAATATGCCCTTCGTAGGCTACAGTGATATAGTTGATCTTGTTATAGGTACAGTATATGTTTTGTATAACGACTGTGATATTGTATGGCTTCACAATAATACATAGATTGTGTGCCTGCTCAACATATAATCATCCAGTGTAAGGCACCATGAGAGATATATCCATGAGAATAAAATATAATAATTGTATCAATAAATGAATGTGCCCAGAGAGGGGGACCCCTGAAAGGGTTAATCCAGATGCAGGGCGCGGTGATTCCTGTAGGGTATAGTAATATAGTATGACCCTGTGCAGGGTATAGTAATATGGTATGACCCTGTACCTAACTCTGATCTTGTGGAGAGTATAACAGTATATAGTATAACCCTAATTGGGGTATATTAACTGGTATGACCCTAAGCAGGGTATAGAGACATAGAGGTCTTGAGCTGGCAACAAAAAGGGGTGCTTGTCTCTTTTAATGCATATATTGTAAATGGGCAGCACAGCAGGCAGGCACTGGGCAAAATATCACCTGCTACACTAATACCC